GAGAGAGAGAGAGAGAGAGAGAGAGAGAGAGAGAGAGAGAGAAGGAAGGAAGAGAATTACCTGTTACCTAAGAGCTGTAAGTGAGGAAAAACAACCCAGGTACTGCCCTGCGCTGCTGTGGGATCAATTTAGTTAATGAGGCTTCAGGCAAGGCCTAGGCAGCCGCTGGCCCACATGGCAACTCACCCTCTCCTGCAGGCTAACAGCAGTATGTGGCCAGTCTTCCTGCCTTACTGAGCTCTCATGCCAAAAGTGCTTTCCACCATATGTGCTTAGAAAAAAAAGCAAAGGACACTGACTCCCATAAGTCTTACATATAGAAAAACAAAACAAAACAAAAAACTAAACCATGCCAAAAAGAAAAATCCATCTGATGGCTTATTTCATGATAAAGTAGATGGAACAGTATTCTCACATGTATATGGACAGTTCTTTTTCTTTTTGACACAGGGTCTCTCTGTGTAGACCAGACTGTCCTTGAATTTACAGAGATCTGCCTGACTCTGCCTCTGTTTCCTGAGTGCTGAGATTAAAGAGGTGTGCCACCAGCCTGTGGCATTTCTTTATCCATTTATCTGTTGTTAGACAGCTAGCTAGGTTTATTCTCCATAAGCTGGCTATTGTTAACAGTGCTTCAAAGAACACAGACATGCAGGTGTTTCTTCAACATAAGAATCTTATTTCCTTTGGATTACCCAGTAGTGGGCTGGTTGGCTCTAGAGTAATTCTGTTGTTAAAAGTTTTAGATGAACATTGGTACTGCTTTGTAAAATGGCTATTGTGTTCACTTCCATTTTCATTAATGATGAAAGGAGGTTTTAAAGGTCCCTCCTCTCTGCCTCCATCAGCATTTTATATTGTCTTCTGTTTTAAGAGATTTATTTTAATTTTTCTTATTTTATATGTGTGAGTATTTTGCCCGCATGTATGTACTACGCTCAGCACATGTACACCTGGAGCCTATGGAAGCTAGAAGAGGATGTTGGAACTCCTAGAACTGGAATTACAAATGGTTGTGAGTTGCCTCGAGTGTGCTGAGAACCAAACCTGAGCCCTCTGTAAGAGCAGCAAATTAAGTGCGCTTAACTATGGAGTCATCTTCCCAGCCCCTGTTTTGTCTTCTTGATAATAGCCAATTGGGTTTTTGTTTGTTTGTTTGTTTGTTTTTTGGTCAAGGATAACTTTTAATAATCATGACCTACGTCTGGGTTCCGGAAATGTCCATAGCTTCAGTTAACTATGAACATTCCATCATGTGATGTTTAGAGTAACAATTCAGAGTATATTGTTGGGCAGACATAGTTGTGCACACTTTTAATCCTAGCACTCAGGAGGAAGAGGCAAGTAGAGTTCTGCAAGTTTGAGGCCATCCTTCCTGGTTTACATATGGAATTCCAGGCCAGAAAGGGCTACACAGTACCCCCGTGATCCCCCCAACATACATACATACATACATACATACATACATACATACATACATACATATTGTTAGATGGTAAAGTCAGGCAACCTTTAGGAACAAATTTCTATATTAATACAACTTCAACATGTCTTTTCCTTTATTTTCAGCCCAAGTGTTAGGAAGCAAGGTGAGCATGCCCAAACATACGTCTGTTCACTATTTTAACCTTTCAAGCATGAGCTCTACAACCTTGAGCTGAGCCAATGTCCACATCATCTTTTCTTTCTAGGTTATAACCTTTAACAGAGCATGCTCAAAAGTGTGCCCTTCTTCAAGTGCTTCCCTGTAGGAATATGTATCAGCTTTCCTAAAGAAATTCCTGTGTTTTTTGTTTGTTTGTTTGTTTTTGGCTTTTGTTTGTTTGTTTTCTCTAGAGGGAGACTGTTTTGGAAATAACTCCTCTCCTGCCCTTCCCTACTAAGAGGAGTAAGCCTTTTTTTACTCTTTTGTGTAAGGAGCCTTTGCTCCTTTGGACCTGGTGCTGCCCAAGATACAGAGCCATTGTATTTTGTTATAGTTAGGTCAGTTAACACAGCATATAAAGAACATATTTAAAACATGGTTTCTTCCTGATCTGTTTATGAGAGTGAAGGCTTGGAGTGATACATTCAACTTTGCTTACAAGGAAGAAGCCAGAGCATGTGTGTTCCAGTTGCCAACATATTCTCTCCTTTCAACGACAATTCCTTTCTCTAGCCAAGCACATTGTACTCAAGTGGTTCTCATTAGTTCTATAAACTATTTTAAATGGGGTTTGTTTGTTGTTTGTTTGTTTAAAGCCTTCAAGTTTTTAGTTTGCAAGTTGAGGTTAAAAAAGTAGAATTGCTTATTTACGCTCTGGACACAAATGTTCCATAGGGTACAGCCATGTTATTTTAAAATATTGGTGAGGGCTTTGCAGCATGGTTAAAATTCTGGCCAAGATGAGCAGAAAATACCAAGAGAGCATGCATGTGATCCTCCTGATCTCTCACCATTTTGTAGTATGATTTGCAAGCCAGTCCAACAAGAGCTTGGTAATCGTAGGGAACCCTGGTGTCCTGGCTAGCTGGTGGAGGTAAAATCAAGAGGCAACTCCAACCACACTTGACAGAAGCCATCTAGGAAAGCCTATGGCAAGCAAGCAAGTTCCTGGAGATGACTACGATGAGTGTGCCCTGGAAAGGCACAGCCCCAGAGACTTCATTCCGGGATAGCTTCTCACTGCTGATATGCCCCTCCTGTCACTATTACATAGCCTAATGGTTCCCGGGCATCAGCCCACACTGTTGAGCAAATGTCTCACAGATCAACATGAAGATGAGCTTCCATGAATTCACACTGTTTAGATGAATTAATGACTTTATAGAATTCCTGGTTTGATTCAAGTAATTTTAGGAGGAAAAATTTAAGGAGACAGTTTTAGTTCTTTTGCCAGAAAGATGTAATAAAGTTAGAATCAAGAATAGAATGTACCTTCTCCTCATAGAGTAGAAGGTAAAGGCTGCACACTGAGAAAGACAATGAGCTTTCATAAATTGCACTAAGAAGAAAAATAGGCTTAGGACAGATTTGTGATCAAGGAAAAACATTCATTCTAGGTCAGGTCCAAGGATGAAGCCACAGGTGTGCACTGTGATAAAGCAAGGGCATGTGAAACTGTTGCTTTGAACTTACAATGAAACACTGTTTTGAACCGTACTACCTACATCCTTCTGTATTTCCCCTTGTTTGTAACGTTTTATCTACACTGTAATTTTAGAAAGAACTTTTGTCTAAGAATGTAGAAATAGTCAAAGAGAAGAAATAAAGGGTGGCTGTTGGAGCTCTGCTTCATCCATTAAATGTATATGTACATGTATATACACCTGTCTATATGCATGTGCAAAATGTCTATATGTCTCTCTGTCTATATGTATGTACATACGTATGTGTACGTATATAAGTATGCATGTGCACTTGTGAAACTGATGAGACGGGTGGCTGGGGGCACTACGGTCTCTCTCTCTCTCTCTCTCTCTCTCTCTCTCTCTCCATCCCCTCTCTCCTCCTCCTCCTCCTCCTCCTCCTCCTCCTCCGCCTCCACCTCCTCCTCCTCCTCCTCTTCCTCCTCCTCCTCCTCCTCGTCCTTGTGTGTATGTCTCTCTGTGTGTCTGTGTCTGGCTTTCTTTCTTCCATTTCTTTTCTCTCTGGCTCATGAAGAGTTAAGGAACTTCAAGCCTCTCACCTGGTCAGCAAGGGGCCCTTGAATCAGAGAGAAGCCTTAATTCTTAATCTCCTGCTGCTATCAGCAGAAGTTAAATTGACAGAAGCCAGTGGCTTTTGGCCACAGCATAGCAAAGAGTTAAAGAAAGAGTTAAATTGCTGAACATAAGTTTGATCACTCAATTGCTGCTTTGGCACTGCCTTCTTGGGGCACTAGATGCTGGGATACCCCCGCCCCAGCCCCTTCCCGCCTGAAACACACTATATTTGCATTTTCACCTCAAATTGGGGAGTGGTTCTCAGTCACTTCTCAATTGCTCCAGCTGGGCTATGAAGTTTGGGGCATCATTGTTATCTAGTACTTGTGTTATCCTCTGCTCCTTGGTCTACAGTGAGGAAAAACTAGCACAAGGGAGGTTTGTTTGTTTGCTTGCTTTGTTTCCTTTGTAAATCTGGAAAAAAAAAAAAAAGAAAAATAGCAGATGGCCCTCTTACCTGTGTTACTCTGGACATTTCCTTAGTTTTGGACCATAAAGCTCTTCCTTGGATCTACAGGGGGCAGCACTGATGTAACCACTCTCTTTGGGGGCCTTCCTAGGTCTGTGAAGTTTTAATTATGCACACACCAGGCACAAGACCTCTAGGAAGGGAACAGGCTATGTGCACATCAATCTCCTTCCTTTCAGGAAAACTCGCCCTTTCTCCTCAGAACTCATCCACATCCAGACAAGAAACTGGAGTTTCTGTAGAAAATCTCTGAATTATTTGGCAGGATACCTTCCATGGGCAGCTTTTCTGTGCTTTGAAGATGCAGAACAGGTTCTCGGGGTTCCAGGCCAATACCTGGGCCATTGTGACACTCAGAATGCAAAGGAGTCAGAGACCAGAAAGCAGGTTCCACCATCTCCTCTTGGAGATGGCAGCCAGCTGAGATGAAGGAGACTTGCATGGCAAGTTGCTAGGTTTCACGTGATCTGCTGCCTTTGTAAGTTAGAAGGCCATCATGGACGTGGACATAGACATAGACACTGAACAACTCTTTACTGAAGAAAAGCCAAAAAACTATGCCCAGCCCGATGTCCTGTGTCACACCTTTGACCTTCTCTCTTGCCTTCACAAGTTGCTCCCAAATCAGATGGTGGAAGTGCTTCATTCCTACAGAAGCGAAGAGGACAAAACCAAATGTATGTGGGTAGAGGGTGGGTGAGAGTGCTTATATTTGCATGCTGGTGTGAACCTTCTTCTTCTAGTTGTGGGTGCTAACTTCTTGACATTACAGGTGCCCTCAGTTCATGAGACCCTTGCCCACATCGTGGTTTGATAAGCCCATGCTCTCAAAGCGGCCTCTGGACTTTGCCCATGAGTAGAGGCCATTCTCCTCTATGCCATCTTTCACAAGCCAAGATAAGTTGATCTTCATCTCTAGGCAAAGCACACCTATGGAACGATGAAAATCCATACAGCTATGTACGGAGGGGCTCAGGTTACAAATCAAGATGGGGGGTTGGTTTTGAGATTGGTGAGAGAGGTTGGAAGGTGAGGATCAAATTATACAACCACTTTAAACTGTTGGGGCAAAATTGGTTGTTTGTATACAAGTTGAATCTCTACTTCCTAATCCAGAATGTTGTGAAGGAATCGATATATCCAGTTTACATTATGTATTGCATAAAGAACACACACAAATTTTAAGCAGTTTAAATAAAATAGCTGCATGGACAGGCAATTCGCAGAATGAGCTGCTGGTATCCAGAAAATGGATGAATAAATCAAGGAGTATTAGGCTACCACATAGGCTCAATTAAAAGCTATCAGAAATGATACGAAGTGAGTGAACTCACACCTGCTTGCTGTGAATAGCATGCTGGCTCAGTGGGAGGGTGGACTTGGGGACTTTATTAAATTTCAAGTGTATGCCATTAGCTTAAGTAAACTGAGCTTGGCAGAGAGAAGCAGAAAATAATTTTATTCGTTCTATAAGCTTTCCTTTTCTCCCCATTTTTATTAATTCTTTGAGAATGCCATATAATATATTTTGATCATATTAATACCACCCCCCAGCTCCTTCCAGACCCATTCCGCTCCCGTCTTAGCTTTTCCTTTTCATCCATTTGATTTTGTTGCCTACTTTAGGTGAAATTACAGGCAAATTGTTTAGCTTTAGAGGGGGCCATTTTGATAATATGATAATATATAATATAAGCACTGTAAATTCGCTCATAACATGTTTAAGTTCTTCCTGCTTTCCTCTGCTCTGGTGTATTGAGACTTAGAAGCCAAGAGAAGGCTTGGTGGTGTGCTGAGTCTCTGTCTTTTTCTGTCTCAGCTCTTCCTTCAGTGGCTTCTTACCACTGACAAGAGTGTGGGAGCGAAGAAAGGAAGGGGAGGGACTGAAAAGCCTCTTCCCTAGTAGTAACATACCAGGCCATGACCTGACACCCCTACTCTCTGGCAGAGGAACTTAGCAAGCCTTTCTCTCCAGCACCACATGAGATCTTTGCTGAAGCCCTTTCCCCTTCTCTGCCCAGAATTTCCCTTTCCTTGCCCATCTAGGCCAGGTTTTGTACCAACATACCACATCTGGGGTAGTTCATAAACCACAGAAACTTGTGTCTTACATTCTGGAGTTCTGGAAGGTTTTAAGGTCAAAGAAGATCCAGTGTCTTTTGGAGGCCTTCTGACTCATGGACAACAATCCCTTTCATTTCTTTCTTGCCCCACGAGGAGAGAGGCAAAGGCTCTCACAGCTGTTTCTGAGAGCACTTAGTCTATGAGTGTTTTTCCCTCATGGCTGCTCCACCTCCAACTCCCACATCCTTGGTTTAAGGTAGTAAATATTTTAAAAATGAGTTTATTATTTATTTTTTAAAGACGAACTTGTTTTTACTTTATGTGTATGAGCGTTTTGCCTTTGTGTATGTAAGTGCACTGTGTATGTGCATGATGCCTGCAGAGACTGAAAGAGGGCACTCGATCCCCAGGAGTTGGAGTCAAAGACAGTTGTGAACTGCCTTGTGGGTGATAGGAATTCAATCAGGGTCCACTGCAAGAGCAGCAAGTCCTTTTAACCACTGAACCATCATTCTGGCATCAAGATAGGAATTTGAAAAAAAATGGACATATACAAATAATAGTACCACCCTTCCCTGGCTTTGGGACACTACTCTTTCATCCTATTTCAACTGAGATTTTCTTAACCTATACCAAATACCTCATGAGATTCTACTGGATGTGGCTCAAAACCATTACTTTCCAGTAGGGTTAATTAACGTTATGGAAAATTCAAACTCTTTTGCCCTATTCATCCAGATGTATGTGTGCATATACATGTATATGCATATATATATATGTACAATACATAAATATATGTATTATATACAATATAAAAGTATGCATACATATATATATGCATACTTAATACAAGTGGTTTCCAACATTGCCCTGTTTGCATTATGGCTAGAGGGCAGCTGTGGTACCAGCCAGTGACCACTGCATACTTCCTGGCATTAATAGTTGAATTGTGTCCCTCTCAAAAGATATACTGCAGTCTTAACTCTAGCACCTCATATGGTGGTCACATTTGGGAATATGATCTCCAAGGGAATGAATGTAACGTATTATGTTCAGGCGAGCATCTTGTGAGAAGATACATACAAGAGAGAGGTAGCCATGGAACAAGAGAGGCAGGGATGAAAAGTGATGCAAAAGAATCCCAAGGATTTCTGTGGCCATCTGGAAAATGTCAAGAACTAGGATAAGACAAAGAAAGATTCCCCCACAAGGGACTCCAGAGGGAGCATAGCCTGATGATCCTCTCCAACCATGAGATAAAGTTGTTGTTTTAATGTGTCAATTTGCATCTATTTGAGGTACTATTACAACAATGGTAGGAAGTTAATAAAGCAGGTGTTAAAAAGACACATGGCCCCACTCAGCTGGTCAGTGGTTTTGTTTTGTTTTCACCTGTTTGTTTGTTTTACAAGATCTGTTAAAAATCAGTGTTGTGAGGAGAAAATTGTCATAATGTGCGGAACCACAATGACTCTGTACTTACAGAAACCCTCAATGTCTTAAATATTATTTAAGTTAAACATGCAAACTTCATACACACACACACGCATTTTATATACAGAAAGGACCCTGGTGTCTACTAGACTTTCCTCAGATGTTTAGGCTGTAGCATAAAACTTCACAAATCAGCTGTCTGTCACTGTGACAATATACCTGGCAGACACAACTAAAAGAAGGAGGTGCTTGGTTTAGAGGGTCACTTGAGTTTCATGACTGTGGAAACAAGTGACATAGCTCATCATGAAACAGAAAGCTGGACAAAAAAGTTGACAGGAATTATGTGTCTCCCAAGGACCTGCCCACAGTGATCTACTTCCTCCAGCCTGAGTCCACTCCCCAAGTCTCTGGTGTCACTCAAAATAGTACCACCATCTGAGGTCAAGTATTCAATCCATCCATCCATGGAGTACTTTATATCTTCAGACTATGCCACAGATGCCACAGAAAATCCAGAACCTCTTACATATGCCTGTCCTTCATGTTAGCAACTCCTCTTCCATTAGATAATGGAATCTTCCTGCACACACACACACACACACACACACACACACACACACACACACACACTTGTACAGAGTGTGACAAAGGATTGTTTATAGTGGTGAGGAACTCAACAGCCCAGTGTCATTCAGTAGCATAAAGAGTAAATGATTAGATGAATCTGGTGGACGCCTGTTATAAAGACTGTTGCGTCAGCTGGCTTTCCATTGACAATACCTTACAATTACGTGAGATAAAGCAACTTCAAGGTTCATAGCTTCAAGAGATTTCAGTCCATAGTTGGCTCCACTGTGTTTGGACTTGTAATGAGGAACAACATCATGGTGAGACTTTTTCTTTAATTAACTTTGTCCTGCATGCCAGAAGAGGGCATCAGATTCCTTTATAGATGGTCATGAGCCACCATGTGGTTGCTAGGAGTTGAACTCAGGACCTTTGGGAGAGCAGCCAGTGTTTTTAACTGTTTGAGCCCTCTCACCAGCACTGAGAATCTTAAATAGAGCAAAACTAGTGACTGGGAAACAAAGATAGAGATAGGAAGGGGCCAGAATCCTAACATCCACATCAAGAGCACACGCTCACTGCTCTGACTTCCCTGTGCCCATCACACAAACTTTGCTTCCAAGCAGCACCACAGGCTGGGAAACCAAGCCTCTAGTATATGGACCTTTGGAGGACATTTAAGATTCAATACATAAAAAAGGTTTGACCTCCAAATACCTAGACAACACAATGTATTAAGGGACAAGTTGCAAAAGGAGACATATAGTATGAGTCATGCTATGAGTTTATATTCAAAGACAACTGTGCATTTGAATATACAAATATGTGTGTGACTGCCTAAAGAAATACAGACGAAAGCCATCATCAAATAGAGGACAAGATGAGGGACTATAGACTTTTCAGAATGGTTTAACTTTATTCCAATGGAAATCCATTCATGTATTATTTTTGCTATGCAAACACAGCATTAAAACTGAAGATGCAGTAGATGATTGAGGTTGGAGAAGCAAGTTTTAATTTTGAAGAGATTCTTCTTATATGGTGCTTCATCTTTTCACCGTAGATGTGGATTTACAATGACACTAGTACTTCTTGCCCATAGCTGTTATGGGTAACAGTTAGGTGCCTTGTTTCAGAAGTGTCTGGCTGTAGTAACTCTCCTACAGTGGGAATCCCATTCAAAGAGACATGTGAAGGCTGGGAGGTGGCACAGTCTGTAAAGGGCTTGCTGTCCAAGCAGGAGGCCCTGAGTTTGGGGGTCGTCATCACTCAGATAATTGGTGGTGAGTACCAGTAACCCAAGTGCTAAGTGAATGCCTCAGGTAGATCCTTGAAGCTCACAGGCAACTTGTCCTAGCTAAATCAATGCAATGACTCCTGCATTGGCTCAGGTCTGATGAGGGTGGTTTGGCACACCACAGAAACTGTGTGCATAGGAACAAGTGAGTGAGTACATCTCAACCCATAGCAGAGAATGAGAGGAAAAGATCAGGGTTCTACATCTCCTTCAAGGGCACACTTCAATGATTCAAGTATCTCCCTTAGGCCCTATTTCTTAAAGATACAGCACCATCAAATATCATCCCCACAGGGACCAAGTCTTTGTATACTGACACTTAGGGGATGCTCATTCGAACCATTGTAGTATGTAAGAAAAGAATTTTATAAACAATTCGCTTGAGACAAAACACCACCACCATCACCACCAACAAAACAGGAGCAAGTCAGGACCTGAGCTAAATGAATTCAACTGAGTATAAAGCTCGATTTTGACATTCTGGCAAGAGAAGCAATAGCTAGAAGCCAGGTAGCTCCTCGGAAGGAAGATTGACAGGGAAAGGAAGATCAATGTCAGTTTCAGTTAACATCTAGGACATCTGACTTCCCGATTCTGCCCCCTACTTTTCCTGAGAAGACAGGGAAGCCCTTCTATGGCAGGAACCAATTAGACCAAACTAGCCCAAAGTAACCAATTCTGAGGGAGAAAAGAAAGTCACTCCACTCCCAAACATTTAAATTCTGCCCCTCTGAGCAGATTCTGATATCCCTTCTCCACTGAGAGGAGTCTAACCCTTTGTGTCTTTGTTCTCTCTCTCTCTCTCTCTCTCCCTCTCCCTCTCCCTCTCCCTCTCCCTCTCCCTCTCCCTCTCTCTCTCCCTCTCCCTCTCCCTCTCCCTCTCCCTCTCTCTCTCTCTCTGTCTCTCCATTCCTTCCTTTCCCCCTTTTCCTTCTCTCCCCCTCTCTCTCCACCCCCCTCTGTGTACGTGTGGGTGTCAGGGCAAAGGATGGCTGCTCCTGGTCACTGAGATAAGTAACCAATCACCAAGGGCAATAGAGGGAGTTTCATCATGGTTCATAGTTCTGTTTTTGAACCAATTTTGGGATAGGTTTGAGATCCTTGGGGTGGACCTATTCAATGTCGTATGCCACTTAGTTAAATTACCAAGCAGTGGTCCTTTTGAGGATGATCTTGGTGTTTTAGAGTCTTCCTTCGTTTCCATGCTATAGGAAGCACCATCAGTTGTTCATTCTGAAATGATGGGCATCTGAGCCAATTTAGAACTATTGCATCTGCCCTGAACCTCTGTTAGGCCATTCCAGCATTAAGTGGATGACTGATGTCCTGCATTCTAATACATCCAAATGGGTTGTGTAGCTACTTGCTTTTTGTTCTTAAATTGTTATCAATTGAAAAAGAGTTAAGAAATCTGTATGATAATATAATTCAGGTAATCTATGTCACAAACAAACACTGTGTAGTTCAACTAGCTAGCTTTTCCTTCCATTCTCTCCCTTTTTCTTTCCCTCTTCCTTCTCCTCTGTTTTTTTTCCTTCTCATTACTTCCTGCAGTGAGAGTGCCTCATCGTAGGAAAGATATTGTTCCATTCTGGTACTAATTTCATGTATTTTAGCAGAAAAGGAATTTTGCTAGGGGCCAGTTGGCTCAATGTGATGCAGATAATGGATGTGCATGAACGGAGAATGCAATGAACAGGTCTGAATTAAAAGTGATTAAAAACAAGATTAAGGATGGCTTGGTAAGAGTGAGTTTGGGGATGCAGAGTCCTGCCTTTGCTGGGTGTCATCTGCCAACGTCTTTCTTTCTTCTATCTGGATTTCAGTATATCAATCCCACAGCCTGGAGAATGGGCTACTAGTCTGTAGTGTGCACAGTCCTGCTTCTGGCTCCTTGCCTGTTTTTTCTTGGTGTTTGGAGTATCTTTCCAAATCTTAAAGTGACTTTGTAGATCCCCCGTCTTATGGCAAGTAATAGCCTAAAAGGCAGCTTCCCAGTGAGCCTGGACATTGCTTTCTAACTTGTCTGAATCCAGTATGACAGGACAACCCCTGCCCTGCATGAGCCATATAAAGCAGGTTTATTTTTCACAGACAGGCAGGAAGGGACAACAGAAGCCATGATGTATTGGGAGCTGGTTCCCCAGGCCAGAGAAGCTTCTCAGGATCACTGAGGTATTGACTGTGTGTGTGTCCTTTTGGCTCCATGGCTGAGGGACTCTGAAAAGCAGTCCATCATGATTTTTACACCTTGGGGTCATTTGAGTCATGGAGATAGGATATTGAACAGCATCATGTTTCCAGTTAACTAGAAGATTGGCAAAGAACTTGGGTTGTCTAGATAGCTCCCCTTTATCTCAAGTTACATTTTGACCACTCCATAGTTTCCTTGAGAACAAGTGAGAAGAAGAGAGGATCTGAGCTGGTCCAAGATCACCTGGAGAAATAACCAGCAACATCTACTCTCTGTGGAGTCGCTGTCTGACCAGAGAGGGGTGCCATTCCATTTTTGATGGCAGGGTGTAAACCTCTGGAATCACCTCATCCTCTCAAGGTAGTTCCACCATTCTGGCATTCTAACTGCTGCTCACCACCGAGAGAATTCCAGCAGTAGGAAACACAGGTCCAAATCCCAAGTCTCTATTATTGAGTCTCCAAATGCAGAATAGTTCTTAGGCAAAATAGCAGGAAGATGGTGTTCCAAATTAGGAGCAAGATGCATAATAATAATAATAATAATAATAATTGTGTTATAACTTATTATTAATTTGCAAACTATACATAAGGAATCAACAACATTTACATGCTAGTCCTAGCATACGTAATGCTGGCATTTATAGTCAATGCATCTCTTAGACTAAGATTTAAGTAATATTGCTGGGACAAGGGGATGGCAGAACTAAGAAGGAATTACTAAGTTGGAAAACTAGAGCTGCAGGATGTACCTAACACACAGGAAGCTCTGAGTTCTATCCTCAGCACCATGTACACACATAAACACATTTCAGAAACGTGTTAATTCTGGGGTGGAAATAAACACTGAATTCTGTTAATACATTCTACCTCCAGGTGAGAAGCCTGAATTCTCTGGCCTAGAAAAGATCTTAGCAAGACATCAGTTGCCAAAAGAGATTAGTCTATCCCCAAAGCCAAGCCATATGCCCTCATGGAAAAGAAAAATAATCAACAATATTAGTGGCAACTGGAAGAAATGTCACCTGTGGCAGAAAAGCACCTATGAGCCACCCATGGGAACCATCGTTGCCAGGTAGGTATTTGAATTTTGCTTCTATGCTTATGTTTACAGAACAGAATGAATGATCACAAGCAGAAACTCTTCATCTTCCCCCCCCCCCAAAAAAAAGATTTAATGTGGTCTTTGTGAAACATGGAGGACAAGGAACAGGCTTTGCCTTACATAAGAGCACACTGCCTCTATTTTCACACATGCCAAGTTACTGAAAGAAGCTCTCAGTACAGGGACACTTCTAGAAATGGTAGAACAGTGTGTTACCTTACCTACTGCCTTCTGCTCCAGTGAGCAGAGATCTGCAAGGTTGGAATAGGTTTGCTGTAGAGGAAGCCACCAACTAAATGCTACCATTACCATGACCAAAGACTAGACTCTTGGCTTTATCCACAGTCTGCCAGATTTTTACACTGGGAAAGGAAGAGCCATTGCAAGGATGGAACAGGATAGATTTAGGTGCTCTCAGGCCTACATGGAAGCAGGTGGAAGCTAGAGACCTGCTGGAAGCTCTTGTAGTTAACACAAGTGAGGAATAGCTGGCCTCAGGCTATGAGAGAAAGGAGATGATGTGCTCCAAGTCTTAAGCATTGGTTACTCAGCAAACTACCTTATTTGGTACATTTCTCTGTTAACGCCAGACAGATGTCATGTTCCTTCTTGCTGCTTTTCTATTACCAACTATAATATCCAAGATGATATCTGTGCTTTACACATTGTAGACATTCAAAGACTGTTAACAGGTTGACAGAAGAGAAGCAGACTCCTGTCTGATCTTAAGATGATCGCATACAGGGAGAGGACTAGCTCATGAATTTGCTTATTCTACACACTTCCTTTGGGCTCATCATCTGTACTGGATGGTTTGTGTGTCAACTTGACACAAGCTTTAGTAATCACAGAAAAAGGAACCTCCCTTGAGATTCAGCTATAAGGCATTTTTTCAATTAGTGATCAAGGAAGGAGGGCCCATTGTGGGTGGTGCCATTCCTGGGCTGGTAATCTTGGGTTCTATAAGAAAACAAGTTGAGCAAGCCAGGAGAAGCAAGCCAGTAACATCCCTCCATGGCCTCTGCATCAGCTTCTGCTTCCTTACCTACTTGAGTTCTAGTCCGACTTCCTTTGGTGATGAACACCAATGTGAAAATGTAAGCTGAATAAACCTTTTCCTCCCCAACTTGCTTCTTCATGATGTTTTGTGCACATAGAAACCCTGACGAAGACATTATCCTAGCTAACAAATGTTCCTGTCTACCTGTCCCCTCATGTCTCCAGCTGGATTTAAAAATCTATAGACAGTGAGATTATGTCTCTTAGTAACATCAGAAGCTATATCCATCAGGTCTCACCAATATGACTGCCCAAATGTGAGCTGAACAAAGGTGACACCAATGGACATGCCAAAGTGGGCAGAGAAAAGCACACAAGGCTTCACCCCTATATAAAGAATTTTAGGCAAGTGAGGAAAGCTGGGGCTGGGAGAAGTGGCTTTCTTCAGGGAAAATCACATCAATTGGTTGTCCAAAGTCAAATTGCCAGTCCTGAAAGCATACATACAAGGAACATTATACAGTTGGACTAGGTTACATTTAGGACATATATGTGCATACATATATGTATGCAATAACAATTAGTGAAAAAAAGAGAGGCCATAAATGTAAAGGTATATAGGAGGGTTTGAGGGAGTAAAAGCAAGAGAGATAGGTTGTAATTAATTATCATGTCAAAAAAGTCATAGCTAAAGAAAGCAAAGTTCATGTTGTAAGGAAAAGGTGGTCATTAGAGCAACGGCATTTTTCAGGACAGTGAAGTGATGCTGAGATTTTCAAGGATAAAAGTTATTTTAAAATATTCAAATTAATATTATGTAGCCATGTTTAGAGGACGATTTTTTAAACAAATTTCAGCATCATAAAAGGTTGCTTTAGGCTACGATGTTTTCACATGGTGTGACGTGTTTACTTAACAACGTACTATGGCCTATGAAAATATAGCTTGAGTATCAGCATCCAAATGTGGACACCCATCTTTACATATTTCCTTCTACCAGCGAGCATCTGCTCTCTGTGAAAGTGCAGACTGTTTTGATCATTTGTGGGTTTTTGTTTGTTTGTTTAGGGCTGTGGCCTCTGAGAAACGAAAGCTCATATAGAAATAAGAACATCAAAGTTCAGCTAGTGACAGAGGGTACATCAACAAGAGGTGGAGGGAGAATTGGGCAGAGGGGGAAAAACCAGCTCTGCTGAAAAATAACTCTCAAAGAATCTAAAAGAAGTCTAACAAGGATGTGGGCTGCTTCGCAGGATTCAATTGTGAATCCTGTTTCTGCCATGACTCTGGATGCCAGAGGCAATGTGCTGGATTGCCCTATCTTCAGGTAACAGGACCATCTAGACAGTCAACAAGTCTATCACTTTCAATCGCTTGTGACTTAACTGGTGCCCTTGAGATCACCCATGCTTTAAGGAAGCCTAGCTGCCCCTGAAGAATATTGTCAAGAAGAACAGCATTCTTGTCTGAATGTTGATTGCAGTACTGCGAGCTCCTGCCCTTGTCCATCTGTAAAATAAGATCTCATCTTGTGGCTTTATGCTAGAAAAACTGGCTGGTATGATTGGATTTTGACAGATATAAAGTACAGTGAGAATGTGTACTTTAATATATGTACATATTAGACTGATCCAACCATAGAAACCTTGAACTTAACACTGGCAAAATTATGTTTAGTATTTAGCATCATATCTTCACTTGCACAGAGATGGCAAGGCCTTTAATAAGGACTTAATCCACTTTCTATTGCTGTTGCAGAGTACTTGAGACTGGGTAACTTATGAAGAAAATAACTCCATTTAGACTCATGGTTCTAAATGATAGAAAGTCCAAGATAGCCAGTGTAATGTAGGGTCTAGATAGAAAGTCCTTCTCTCTGGTAAGGGCATGACACTGCTTTAAAACATGGCATTAGTTGGCAAGGCAAATAGAGATGTGGAAGAGAGGGAGAAAAAAATGAGATATGCTTTCTTTGTAATATCCTCCTATTTGTGTGTGTGTGAATATGTGAGTATATATAGACCAGAGACCATTGTCAGATGTCTTCCTTAATCACTCTCCAGCTTATTTTTGAGATAGAGTCTCTCATAAACCTGTATTCACTATATTAGCTAGACTGGCTGGTCAGGGAGCCCAGGGACCAGCCTGTTTCCATATCCCCAGCACTGCGATTATAGATGTTGGCCACAGACAGCTTGTATGTGGGTGCTCGGAATTGAATTTGGATCTCTTTATTCTTGCACAGCAAACACTTTATTAATGGAGACATCGTCTCAACCTGTAATAAACTAATTTGTCCTATTAGGATGAGAGATAACATATTCCTGTCAGATGGGCATTAATCCCTCTTATGAATGGCCTCACCCATATGGCATGGAGAATCAAGGTTCTAACTTATGACTTTGCATTGAACACAGTCAAGTCAAAACACATAGTGACTGTAGTCATAGGGTCAGACCCTACATCACACTGGCTTCTGACAAAAATTCTTCCATTTTGCTATGTAAATAAAACAGCAGTTCCCAAAGCCATACCATGCTGAAAAACAGATTTTCTAAGCATCTAGAGTCACAGATGGTAGTGTATTATCTCTGTTGGAGAACTTGGCAGGATGCCAGACCCAACTTTTTATAACATTGTAAATCCTTTCTGGAAACTGCATGTAAATTATAATTACTTGTAAACTGCATTTATTGGCTCAATATGTCATACTCACGGGCTCTGGAGCTCATTTTTCTTTTTCTTTTTAACGTGCAACAAAGGAATCTTGGATAGATGATGGGTGAACGATCCACACAGGGACTTTAGAATTTTACGTTCTAAAATATATTTTATTAAAACAACACAGTAATAGCCAGAGATAAGGGCCTGGTAGTAGGTAGCAGGATTGATTCTGCTCCCCCTCTGATGTAGACAGTTGGAGTTAAACTTTGCATGGCACCAGCCCCAAAGAAGCAATGGGTACGCCATCCATCTGAAATAAAAACTTCTGGTTTCTTAAGAAAGTCAGTTATGTCAAAGGATATTTTGCTGGGGCACACAGGTGAAAGGATGTCCTGCTAAGGCAGACACATGGAAGAATGGTTTTCTGAAGCAGACACCGATGAAAGGATGTTTTGCTATAGCAAACATGTGAAAGGATGCATAATGTTTAGAACGAGTATAAATATGACCCCACAGACAGTAGGAGCTCAAGCACTGGTTTGTTTGGCTCCACCTTGCTATTCTTCGCTGATGGTGCATGCATGTATTGGTTCACCTTACACTGCATTAAGCTTTGCTTGTGGTGTTACAGAGAGAAAATCACCAAAGAACTTCTCTGGAGGTTCCTGTGGCTTCTTGCCACTTTCAAGGACTCAGGGCAGTTGATGAGCTTTGCAGTTTCTTCTGGATTGGACTGCCCCTGCTGGTTCATGTGTGGTGTCTTCTGAGTGGACTTGTCTGTAGCAGCTGATTTATTAGTGGTAATTGCTTGAATAGACTGGACTGTTGCGTATTGGTCTTTTGCTAGAGGACTGGTGTGATGGTTTGTATATGCTTGGCCCAGGGAGTAGCACTATTAGAAGGTATGGCCCTGTTAGAGTAGGTGTGGCCTTGTTGGAGTAGGTGTGTCACTGTGGGTGTGGGCTTTAAGACCCTCATCCTAGCTGACTGCAAGCCAGGATTCTGCTAGCAGCCTTCAGACGAAGATGTAGAACGCTCAGCTCCTCCTGCACCATGCTGCCTGGATGCTGCCATGTTCCTGCCTTGATAATAGTGGACTGACCCTCTGAATGTGTAAGCTAGTCCCAATTAGATGTTGTCCTCATAAGAGTTGCCTTGGTAATGGTATCTGTTCACAGCAGTAAAACTCTAATACAACTGGATGGTTGATATCCTGACAATGAAGATAGGATTTGACCCGAAAGAACTATTTCTAAATAGGTCTACTTCGGGCTTTTCCTAAAACTTTTCTTTTCCACTACCTCTGG